CCTGCACCGGCGTGACCACATGCACCAGCACAGGCTGGGGCCGGCCCGCTGGGAGGCAGCTCTGTGGAGAAGGGCTCCTGGTGCAAACAGGCCGTCCATGAGCCGGCAGTGCCCTTGTGGCCAAGAAGGCCAGGGCTATCCTGAATGAATTCGGAAGAGCATTGCCAGCAGGTCAATCCTGCCCCTCTACTCAGCCCTGGTGAGGCACATCTGGAGTGCTGTGTCCTGCTCTGGGCTCCTCAGGGCAGGAGAGACACGGGGCTCCTGGAGTAGATGCAGCAGAGAACTACAGAGACAATTAAGGGTTTGGAGCATCCACTTATGAGGAAAGGCTGAGGGACCTGGGCCTGTTCAGCCTTGAGAAGGGATGGCTGAAAGGGAGCCTCATAAATGTGAATGAATATATAAAGGGTGGTTGTGAAGAGGATTCATCCAGGCTCATCTTAGTGGTGCCAAGCAATAGGACAAGAGGCAATTGGCAGATACTGATTTACAGGAAGTTCCACCTGGATATGAGGAAGAACTTCTTTACTGTGCAGGTGACTGAGCACTGGAACAGATTGTTCTGAGAGGTTGTGGAGTCTCCCTCACTGGAGATGTTCAAGAACCATGTGGACACAACCCTGTGCCAGGTGCTCTAGGATGACCCTGCTTGAGCAGAAAGGTTGCCCCAGATGACCCCCTGTGGTCTCTTCCAGATCCTGTTAATCTGTGGGGGTCCCTAGGAGTGCACCAGCCCCTCACAGAAGCTGTGGTTCCTCACACTGGAGCTGTACCGAGTTCCACACTGCTGTGCTGCAGATCTCGCTGCTGTGTCTGCACAGTGCCCATGGAGACTGCAGCCTCCACAGCTGTGCTTCCCAAGCAGGGCAACACACTTCTCCTCAGGAGCACCACTTGTCTCCTGTGTCTCACTGTCCCTGCCCTGTACTCCCCTAGTACCTCTTTGAGCTTCTTTCCCAGCCCTTCCCACTTGTTTCCACTTTTGCCATGGTGCCTGGCACCACACCCTGTGGCCCACTTCGAGGACTTGGTGAGACCCCATCTGGAGTACTCTGTCCAGCTCATGAAAGGCCTGGACCTGTTGGAACAAGTCCAGAGGAGCCACCAAGATGCTTAGAGGGATGAAGCACAAGGAAAGGCTGAGATAATTTTGATTATTCAGCCTAGATAAGAGAAGGCTTCAGGGTGACCTACTAGAAAGGTGGAGAGGGACTTTTCACAAGAGCATGTAGTGACAGGACGAGGAAGAATGGCCTCAAACCGAAAAGAGAGATGGTTTAGATTGGATATTAGGAGGAAGTTCTTTGCTTGAGGGTGGTGCGATACTGGCACAGGTTGCCCCGGGAATTTGTGGGTGCCCCATCCCTGTAAGTGTTCAGTGCAGGACGGAGCTCTGAGCGCCTTGGTCCAGTGAAAGGTGTCCCTGCCCGTGACAGGACTAGATGATCTTTAAGGTCCCTTCCCACTCCAACCACCCAATGATTCTATGATTCCCGACTCCTGCTCTTCACGGCGGTTCCAAAGGCGCTCATGGCCTCACGACTGAGCAGCCTGCGCGTT